GCGGACCGTCAGCTCCAAAGCATGGGGGTGCGACGAGAATCAGGCCGCGTAACCATGGGCAAACGGGTCGTTGGTGGGGAGGGACGGGTGGGCCAGAACACTTCACCGCGCATAGCCTAAAACAGGGATTGCGCATTTTCGAAATAAAAAAATGCCCAATCTGGGTCGTGGATCCTCGTCGAACAACGACCCAGATAGGGCATTTTTTTCTCAAAACTGGTTGGCCTCCTACAAATTATGAAAGTGGGAGGGTGTACAGACTGCCCCCCTCTACCTCGCTAGACCACTTAGAAGAAATATGGGCCCTGCGCATATTTGGCATAGACCTCGAAAATAGTATTTCTGGTTTTATTCGGTGTCCTTCTTCCGATCGAAAATACCGGATAATCGAAGGGCATCCAGAACACTACACCGCGCACAGTCTAAAACGAGGATTGCGTGTTTTTGAAATAAAAAAAATGCCCAATTTGGGTCGTGGATCCTCGTCAAACAACGACTCAGATCGGGCATTTTTTTCTCAAAACTGGTTGGCCTCCTACAAATTCTGAAAGTGGGAGGGTGTTCAGACTGCCCCCCTCTACCCCGCTAGACCACTAAGAAAAAATATAGGCCCTGCGCATATTTTGCACAGGCCTCGAAAATAGTATTTCCGGTTTTATCCGATGTCCTTCTTCCGATCGAAAATACCGGATAATCGAAGGGCATCCGGATATCCGGATTTGCTACTTAGCTTATCTTGGTGTTGATTTTTTTATAATCTTACGACCTTCTGGTACATCATAAGCTAAACGAAGTGGTTCTGCTAACAATAAAAATTAAGGTTTTTCAACGAATCTACACGTTTATCTTGTAGGTTCGATAATGGTGAAGTAAATGGATCGAAATCTAGTTATGTCTTTTTGCTTCAAATATCATAGGACTCACTAGATTTTCTCATTAGATCAAAGAATTCAAGCCTTGCAAGCCCTCCTACCATAAATAATGTATTTTCCTTCTTGCACTACGTAACCAAAACTTTGAATAAAGAATTTAACAAACTTTAAAAAATACAGCATGAAAAACATTATTCCCATCTCTATAGGGGTTTCGCTTATTCATTGTAAAATGGAGATCGTTCTATTTTCTCTTGATTGATTGAAATCCTCCAACAACCTCAACCTTTGTCACATATGTGAAATTAAAGTATTCTAGTTTTACTCTTAGTAAAGTACATTTCTTTTAGTTTTTTTTTTTTTCACTCACAAAAAGTTTAGTGGTTAAAACGAGATAGCAATGTAAAATATATATATATATATATACATATACAGGGTTGCCGGCATTCGGGACGGGCCGAAC